ATATTTTTATTATAAATTTTGAATATTTATTCAAAAATATTCAAAAATATTCAAAAAACATGTCTATTTAGAATTGATTATTTTTATATTTTAAAATAAATTTTGAATATTTATTCTACAAACATGTCTAGTTAGTAAATTTTTTTCTATCCTGTTTTATTTTTATTTTTACCCAATATTAAATTATCATTCATTTTTTTTTCATTTGTTTTTGTTGTGTATAACATTCTCTATAGGTATCACATTTATATTATAATATATAACCAGTTATTTTATTTAACAGCGTTTATTTTAAAATTATGAAGAAACAATCAGTTATTAACTCTTATTTTAAGTTAAAGTTAAACAAATGTCAAGCAACGTCACCTCTACAAACTACTAATAAATAAAACATCAGAAATTTCAGAAACTGATTCTTCTCATAGTTAGTATAAATTTATATTATTATTTCATGACTTATATGATATTGATATAGGGCAATACCTATATATTATTATTTCAAATATATTGATTTTATATAAGATAAGAGACAGACATTTATTATTAATATTATCATTTTTGTATAATAATTTTAATTATTAAAATAAATATATTCACTCATATTTCAAGATATGAATGAAGCAAATAATCTAGAAAATGATCCTCACTACACTCAGGAGGAGAAAGATGGTAAATAGTTTAAAATTTAACCCAAATTTTTCTATTTATATATTTTTGACAATATCAATAGGAGTAGGGGATTATGGTGTTTCATTATTACATTTGATTTTAAAACAAATAAAGGCGAAGAAGAGTCTCAATCATATTCATCTAGCAGCTCAGTTTCTCATTGTCAAGAGGCAACTAGTAATTGATTTATAAATATAAAAATATTATATTTTTTTGTTAATCTTTAAAGATATAATGTTTATGACTTTTTCTAGTTTTTAATACTGAATATCTATAATTTCACTGATCAACTTTACTGATAATCTTCATCATGATTGGGCACTACAGTATAGCAAATACTTGTATCTTAAATACAAGAAAATTTTGTGTTTGTTCATTTTCAGCATGCCCTTCCTTCGCCCATCCTGATGACCATTATTATTTATGACCCTTTCCTTCATTACAATTTATTAATTATAATATTTTTAGTGTCAAAAAAGTCCTCTAATGGTTCAATTCAAATCCCAGGTGACCTTGGCCAGAATAAACAAAATCAAATCAAATTAAACAATTACGCGAAAAAAGATATCCATGGAAGGCAAAGATCATTTCAAAAATCTTGGTATAGAGGTCGAGACTGGTTGGAGTATAGTGTAGAAGCTGACGCTGCCTTTTGTTTTCCATGTAGGAAATACTTGTGTAATCCAAGTGATGAATTTAGATAAACGGGATTCAGAAATTGGAAAAATGCGTTAGCTGCCAAGAAAGGACTGCTAAAACACGAGAGCTCAAAAGCTCATTTAAATTCAATTACAATATGGCATGATAAAAATCAAAATATAAACAAAGGTACAGAAATAACTAAAATGTTGGGAGGTGATCAAATTAATCGTAATCAATATTATATTAAATCAATATTTGATTTGATGCTATTTCTTAGCATACAAGAGCTACCTTTCCGTGGAACTGGTTTAACAAATATTACGGATGCTGCAAAAGATGAAAACATAATTTATTCTTCTGGGCTATTTATAGCAATGTTTTCCTACACCATCCAAAATGACCCTGAATTAAATAAAATTATAAAATTTATACCCCAAAATGCCCAGTATACATCACCACAGATTCAAAACGAAGTAATATCCATTATGGCAGATATGGTGCTTGAACATATTTCAGACAAATATAATAAAAGCGAGATGCCTTTTTTTTTGTCTTAAGGCTGATGAGACAAAAGATGTTTTAGGTTGTGAAAACCTAAGCATAATAATTCGCTATATTTTTTCTGGAGAAATCCAAGAAAATTTAATAGGAATCATTAATTTAGAGTGACTTTCTGCTGAAAGTATTACAGATTGCATTTTAAAGCAACTTAATGATCTAAATATTAATTCAGCTAATATAATAAGCCAGGCATATGATGGTGCAAACGTTATGTCTGGCCGAAATGGAGGAGTGCAAACACTTCTTCAAAAAAAAATTAATAAAAATGTTCCTTTTATACATTGCTACAACCACAAGTTGCATCTTGTGGTTCAAAATTGATATAATAATATTGTTATTATTTCTAATTTTTTTAATTTATCAATGCATTGTATAATTTTTTCAGGCGTTTTAACGTATCCTGTAAATATACAGGCCACACCCTTAAGAGACTTTCAGACCAGAAATGGACTGGTCATTTGGAAACATCTCGCATTATTTATGAGAATTTTGAGGTTATTGATGAAGTATTATTTTACTTTTCTAATAGAACTCTTAATTCTGAGGTTTCAATTCATGATTCAGTCGAAGCCTCTGGTCTTTTATCTCAATGTATTAATATAAATTACATTATATTAGCCATCATAATTTATGAGATATTAATTACAATAGATCCACGAAATAAGTATCTACAATCAGTAGGAATGGAGTTCTTTAAAAAGGATATATTATGAAATTATAGATAACTTTGTGGATCGTTTTTTAGACCGATTTACAGAAGATGATTTTAATCTTTTTTCATCTTTTAATACATTGTCCCCCCTTGACCCTGATTATTTTTTATCAGATAAAATGGCCCCATTAAAATCCCTGTTAAACTTAAATATGGAAACACTGCATCATGAAATCAAGATAGCAAAAGGATTGCTAGCTTCGGAAGCTAAAGAAAATCATAATTTTGAAAATATCTTACATATTATGTATAAAAAAAATAAAATCATGCATTTAAAGAATTATATAAATGCTACTCAGCAGCGCTAATCATTGGGATATCAACGGCCATTGTGAGGCCTCGTTCTCTACATTAAAGAGAGTTTTATTGAGCAGTAGAGTCTATAAACGTAAACAAAATTTAGTATTTATGGCGTATGAAAAAAGAATCACGCAGAATTTATCTTTTAGTTCATTTATATTAAAATTTAAAAATAAAAATCGCCGTAATCTATTATAGTAATATTTTGTTTTGTATATGCATATTATAGTATTATTTTGTTTTGTATATTTATATTATAGTATTATTTTGTTATTAAATTTTTAATAAAAATAGGAAAAAATTTCTATGAATGCGTAATTATTTGTTTGATTTTAAAAAAATAGTGCCCCCCCCCCAAGTAAGCACTTGGCCCCCCTAAGTGAAAATTCCTGGCTACTGCCCTGTACGGGACAAGTGGGGAGATAGAACATAACAATTATCAATATGAGGAATATAATATTACTATTAAAACAATAGATGTTATTGTTGCTAAAACAGATTTTAAGTGATTTATATATTTTTAATAATACTTTAAATAAAATTAAACTTATGGACTTCATAGAAGAGTTATATAAAATCTAAAAAAAGTTTTAATTATGAAATAATAAAAGAATTGGTGAAATCAAATTTATATAATGTATGAGTGGTGAAATGATGATGTCCTAAAATTTTTATATTTAATTTGCATATTTTACTGCTTAATTTATAAGATATTTTATATATTGATATAGAACATCCAAAAATATAATACAAATGCTATCTCTTCCTCTAGAGCTTATAGCAAGTCTAAAAAATATTTTTACGAAAAAGGTATTAGTTAATTATATATTGAAATCTATCCGTTAAAAAATTTATCAAGGCTAAAAAGCAGCAAATATTTCAAGCTTTCTTTAAATATGTATACTGTATATTTACAAATTTGATCAGGCTAAAATTCAAAAAAACCGAAGAAAATTTGTTTTACATTTGTATTACATAGATCAGAACCTACAGGAGGCAGTATTCTGTCATTTAGTTAATCCTCTAAGTCCTATGAACCTTTGGCAAAATCCTTCTTAGAATTAAATAACTACTATATTTTGATAATGGAACGAAAATATAAATCTAAGAATTTTTTTCTCAACTCAACACCAAGTAGTTCAAGTTTTAAAACCATAAGCAAAAAACAATTTAGCGCTAGTATTCTTCTTAACTTTTTGATATATTCTATGTATTTTATGAGCAATTGTTTTAAACGGTTTATTAGCTTTCTATATCCGATATTTTAGAAGCACTACCATAAGAGAATTAACCTTTTTAATTTTTCCCTGAAATGTTTTATATTTTTAGATTCTCTTCTATTTTAAATATGAAATATACCTAAATGTAAATCTAACTGAATTTAATAGGCGTTTATCTCTTAAAATCATCTAAGATGAGTGGTTGGTCGGATTTATATAGTTAAATAGTCTTATTTTAATTTATTTGTATAGCGTCTATTTTCATAACTCCTATTGACCAACTTAAATGTCGCCTTGACAATTTGGTAGGACCCAGTTACGCATGATAATTTCCTATATTAATTCATCCAGACATAAGTCCTATTAAAAATAATAACAACGCCCTCCCCTTTCCCTGGAGTATGCTGAACTACTTTAGAATGAACATTGTTAATGGTCTTTAGTAGCTGGAAGTATAATCTATTCGGATTCCTAACAATATCTTACAGAGTTGCCATAAGCCACCAAATGATGCGACATGTTATATCTTATTCATGTATAAAAAAAAATGGTAAATTCAAGTGAGGGCATTGATTAATAAATTGCATATTAAGCTCTGAAATTGTGTAGAAAACGTATGAAAAAATCGGAAAATAAAAAAAAAAGAAAGAATATGTTTGGAATCAACTATCAAATTAATCAAAATCACCTATCTGATATTATCAATCCTCCAGAATTTAAAAAAATGATAATGGCATGAATATTTTAAATAATAAAATGCTATAAAAATATAGATTTTTTTTAAATTAGCTTTTTTTTGAAAATAAAAAATAATTTTGAATAATACACGAGTCTAAAACAAAGATGCAAGTTATGATTGCAATATATACCTTTATTTTAAATAAATTTTTACCCATATAAATTATTAAATAAATATAAAAATGATTCATTATTTATTAATAATTAAATTGATTCATTGATTAGTACATGAATAATTCACCACCGGATTAAATGTTGCACTTGTTATAAATTATTATAAAATTAAAATTAAAAATATAATTATCATTAAATTATGTTGGTTAAATCATTAGCGTTAATATATCCATTACAATAAATAAAGATAGAAAATAATTATCGTGTTACCGATCTAATTTGATATTTAAAATTAAATTTCTATTCGCACTGCCTTATATATTTAGATACAACCATGTGAGCATCTTCAAAATAATGTATGGATTCAACTCCTTCGGGTATCCTCACTTCGGTTATCACGAAATTTTTGAAATAAGCAAATTTATCAATACCACTATCAGTGATATAATTCATGCTCACTCCAGATCTACTTTGTGATATGGTCATCTATATAAATTATAGTTTAAAACAGTTCATTTTAAGTTTCTTGTTACGTTTGGATATTCGCGAGAGTCAATTAACTTGATATTTTTGTTAGCTAGATCACTTATATATATTGATGTATATTCGGAAGGTTTCTTAGTTATAACATTTAATTTTACCTTTGAAGAGATAAATAAATTTTAAATATTAATTTAAAATTTATATACGTCGGCGTTAACTGCTATTTTATATTGCGGTATATTTACTAATCGTTCCAAATATGTTTTTTCAAGATCTGTAAATAAATGATAGACTATTCTTGAAGCTTCTTGAATAGGTTGGAAATTAGCAACAAATTTAGCGCTAATACCATCTATTTCTGGGAATAATTTAACATTTCTAATTGTAAAAAAATATTAAAATATAAATCCTAACATCATAAATAATACTCTAATTTAGTGATGTTAGAATCATAATTGATAATATTATAAATTCCTGGTTCTTGAACAAGTTCGCAGATACACTTGTGTTCGAGATAGAGAGCTTTAAAAAATTGATTTGATTAGAAATGAATGTAGCTTATTTAATACTTTTGTTATTTTCCCGAGTATGGTCAGGTAAGGTATAATTGCTTGAAATATCATCATCGTGACATTCTAATATAATTGATGGAATAAATTTACTTCAATATCAATTTAAATTATACGTTCTGAACAATTTTGGAGTTGAATCTCAAGGGTATGAATTCCTGGACTAATAGGGGTAAATATGGCACTTTCGAATTGGATTTCATTTATAAAGGTCTTCTTAATAGCCTTTCTTATAACCGAATCATGATAATATTCGTCAATAGATATATGATCGTTTTTTTGGGCTACTGCCAGCTGAAACTAGATTTAAATAATGTATAAAAAACTTTTAAAACCTTATCCAACGTAGAGTGAGATATTGATAGGTTATAACATCTACTATTAACATCGTTAACTCCAAAGTGTAATCCACAGAATTTTTGTAATCTAGTCATAGGTGTTATTATCATTTTGATCTAAATAAATTAAAAATAATAAATTGTTTTAAGCTCTTTATTATTTCACAATAATTGGAAAAATATGATTATATTTAGAAAATCATTACATCACTCTTGGCTTTAAAGGCGATATTAAAGTATTTTTTAGCATTAGAAATATCTTGAACTGTATTTGAATCAAATGCTGTCCTTAAATTATCATTATCTTTGTTAAATATATTTTTGCCATCTAATTTCCATAGAACATTATCATTTTCCTTGGCAAGATATGTTTTGGTTTTGAATATGGCTTCCCTAATAAAAGTCTAAAATTAATATTATAAAAAAATTGATATCAACTTTGGTAAATTAAGCCGTTCACGAATGTCATAATATCCAGCAGTTTGGACAATGTAGCAAATTGCTTTAAATTTAAGATAGATTAGATACGTATAAAACATGTTATGATTTTAAAATATTACCTCCAATATCCATTGTATCGTTTTTAGCTATAAAAAAAGAAAAAAAATAGATATTGTAAATGAATTTTTTTGTTAAAACCAGTGTCATTTTCGTTTTCTGGACATCCTATTATTGTGACATCGCCTAATTAAAACCATTAAATATTGGAACAGTTTTAATAACAAAATACTTAAATCCTGTCTAGTTGTGGAAGGTGAAGAAGCAGAAAATGTAAAACCAGAAGGAGTGGTTTGTTTAGATGGAGTAGTTTGTCCAGATGGAGTGGTTTGTCCAGATGGAGTAGTTTGACCTGATGGAGTGGTTTTTCCAGAAGGAGTAGTTTGTCCTGATGGAGTAGTTTGTCCAGAAGGAGTAGTTTGTCCAGATGGAGTAGTTTGTCCAGAAGGAGTGGTTCGTCCAGAAGGAGTGGTTTGTCCAGAAGGAGTGGTTTGTCCAGAAGGAGTGGTTTGTCCAGATGGAGTAGTTTGTCCTGGAGTAGTTTGTCCAGAAGGAGTGGTTTGTTTAGATGAAGTAGTTTGTCCAGATGGAGTGGTTTGACCAGATGGAGTGGTTTGTCCAGATGGAGTAGTTTGACCTGATGGAGTGGTTTGTCCAGAAGGAGTGGTTTGTCCAGATGGAGTGGTTTGTCCAGATGGTGTCGTTTGACCTGATGGAGTGGTTTGTCCAGAAGGAGTGGTTTGTCCAGATGGAGTAGTTTGTCCGGAAGGAGTGGTTTGTTTAGATGGAGTAGTTTGTCCAGATGGAGTGGTTTGACCAGATGGTGTCGTTTGACCTGATGGAGTAGTTTGCCCAGATGGAGTAGTTTGTCCAGAAGGAGTTGTTTGTCCAGATGGAGTAGTTTGTCCAGATGGAGTGGTTTGACCAGATGGAGTGGTTTGTCCAGATGGAGTAGTTTGACCTGATGGAGTGGTTTGTCTAGATGGAGTGGTTTGTCCAGATGGTGTCGTTTGAGATGATGTTGTATTAAATGGCGATCCGGTTGTGGTGGGGGTAATTACTTATAAAAGGAAATAATTCAAATATAAATTTAGATTTAATTATATATAAATAGATATATCTTTTCAGTCATATCAATAAGCATCATAGGTAAATTTAAAAATTAACACGGATATATAGATGGAAATAAAAAATTTCAAAATTAAATAAGGTAAATTAGCCTTTTGATTTATTTAACTTATTTTCACAATATAATATTTAGTTGACAATTTTATTGTATAAAAATATTTTAATTTCGTATCAAATTTTATTATAAAGTTTTAATACTTTAAAATATTATTTTAGCAACTAATTTATGAAATAAATAAATTAATATAAAATAAATATTATTATGAAATACTTGATGAGGAACTAGTGATGTCTGTTATTTTAAAAATATATTATATATTAGTTTACCTTAATTATAAACTAAAAATTACTTCCACAATCCTTTATAATAATGTCTAAAACATGATGATCTCCTTTAATATCGAATATATCTTTATTGGCACGGATAATAAAGCTATTATCGATAGTCTTTAATTTCCCATCTTTCATCTCAATTTTGATTGATGTAATCAATTGTGTAATAGTTTTCTAAAATATACAGTAAATTTTTGTCTTAAAAATTCAATTTACAATATCTTCAACATCCTGGGGAAAGAAACATTTTGAATATATTACTTTTTCAATAACTAAGGAACAATATGCTTTTTTACTATAATCTGTAAAATCTTTTGTTACAAGTATAACCTAGAAATTGAAAGAATTTTATGGAACGCAAGAAATTAAATTTACATTGCTTTCTGCTTGGAAGCTAATATCAAATTTTATTTTAAGATAATACAATATTGAAAATGTTAAATAGAAATCTTTCTCTTCGTCATCCGTGGGAACAAATTGTCCGAAAATATCATTTTCAAAGATAGGATATATAATTTTATTATCCTTTCGTTCCAAGTATATCTCGGCACTATATGATATATTAAGTATATATTTGAAATGGAATATTATTACTTGCAAGATAGCGAGGTGCAATTTATTAAATCACTTAGACTATAATTTCCGTCTTTTGTAACTAAATCACAAGGATTTATAGCTAGAAAATTAAAATAAAGTTTGTATCATTTGATTATGGGACTATAATAAAACCTGGCGGACAAGTAGTAGTTTGTCCAGAAGGAGTAGTTTGTCCAGATGGAGTAGTTTGTCCAGAAGGAGTGGTTTGTCCAGATGGAGTAGTTTGTCCGGAAGGAGTGGTTTGTCCTGATGGAGTAGTTTGTCCAGAAGGAGTGGTTCGTCCAGAAGGAGTGGTTTGTCCAGAAGGAGTGGTTCGTCCAGAAGGAGTGGTTTGTCCAGAAGGAGTGGTTTGTCCAGAAGGAGTGGTTCGTCCAGAAGGAGTGGTTTGTCCAGAAGGAGTGGTTTGTCCAGATGGAGTGGTTTGTCGAGATGGAGTGGTATGTCGAGATGGAGTGGTTTCTCTAGATGGAGTGGTATGTCGAGATGGAGTGGTATGTCGAGATGGAGTGGTTTCTCTAGATGGAGTGGTATGTCGAGATGGAGTGGTATGTCGAGATGGAGTGGTATGTCGAGATGGAGTGGTTTCTCTAGATGGAGTGGTATGTCGAGATGGAGTGGTATGTCGAGATGGAGTGGTATGTCGAGATGGAGTGGTTTCTCTAGATGGAGTGGTATGTCGAGATGGAGTGGTTTGTCCAGAAGGAGTAGTTTGTCCGGAAGGAGTGGTTTGTCCGGAAGGAGAGGTTTGTTTAGATGGAGTAGTTTGTCCAGATGGAGTAGTTTGACCTGATGGAGTGGTTTTTCCAGAAGGAGTGGTTTTTTCAGATGGAGTAGTTTGTCCAGAAGGAGTGGTTCGTCCAGAAGGAGTGGTTTGTCCAGAAGGAGTGGTTTGTCCAGAAGGAGTGGTTTGTCCAGATGGAGTAGTTTGTCCTGATGGAGTAGTTTGTCCAGAAGGAGTGGTTTGTTTAGATGGAGTAGTTTGTCCAGATGGAGTGGTTTGACCAGATGGAGTGGTTTGTCCAGATGGAGTAGTTTGACCTGATGGAGTGGTTTGTCCAGAAGGAGTGGTTTGTCCAGATGGAGTGGTTTGTCCAGATGGTGTCGTTTGACCTGATGGAGTAGTTTGCCCAGATGGAGTAGTTTGTCCAGAAGGAGTGGTTTGTCCAGATGGAGTAGTTTGTCCGGAAGGAGTGGTTTGTTTAGATGGAGTAGTTTGTCCAGATGGAGTGGTTTGACCAGATGGTGTCGTTTGACCTGATGGAGTAGTTTGCCCAGATGGAGTAGTTTGTCCAGAAGGAGTGGTTTGTCCAGATGGAGTAGTTTGTCCAGATGGAGTGGTTTGACCAGATGGAGTGGTTTGTCCAGATGGAGTAGTTTGACCTGATGGAGTGGTTTGTCTAGATGGAGTGGTTTGTCCAGATGGTGTCGTTTGAGATGATGTTGTATTAAATGGCGATCCGGTTGTGGTGGGGGTAATTACTTATAAAAGGAAATAATTCAAATATAAATTTAGATTTAATTATATATAAATAGATATATCTTTTCAGTCATATCAATAAGCATCATCGGTAAATTTAAAAATTATTTCTAATTTCCTATCATTTGCAATTTATTTGATCTTTTGGCACTTTTAGACGAAACGGCATTTTGCACGGTTATATAGATGGAAATAAAAAATTGCAAAATTAAATAAGGTAAATTAGCCTTTTGATTTATTTAACTTATTTTCACAATATAATATTTAGTTGACAATTTTATTGTATAAAAATATTTTAATTTCGTATCAAATTTTATTATAAAGTTTTAATACTTTAAAATATTATTTTAGCAACTAATTTATGAAATAAATAAATTAATATAAAATAAATTTTATTATGAAATACTTGATGAGGAACTAGTGATGTCTATTATTTTAAAAATATATTATATATTAGTTTACCTTAATTATAAACTAAAAATTACTTCCACAATCCTTTATAATAATGTCTAAAACATGATGATCTCCTTTAATATCGAATATATCTTTATTGGCACGGATAATAAAGCTATTATCGATGGTTTCTAATTTCCCATCTTTCTTCTCAATTTGGATTGATGTAATCAATTGCGTAATAGTTTTCTAAAATATACAGTAAATATTTGTCATAAACATTTAATTTACAATATCTTTAACATATTTAGCATATATGCATATAGGACTTATAAATTTTTCAATAACTATTGTACAAAATGCGATTTCATTATATTCAGTAAAATCTTTTGTTTCAAGTACAACCTATATATGTTATGTAAAATTTAAAAATTGAATCGAATATGATTACATTGCTCTCTGCTTTAAAGCTAATATCAAACTTTAATTTAAGATAATATAATATTGACAATATTCGAAAGATTTCTTTCTCTTCGTCATCCGTGGGAACAAATTGTCCGAAAATATCATTTTCAAAGATAGGATATATAATTTTATTATCCTTTCGTTCCAAGTATATCTCAGCACTATATAATATATTAAGTATATATTTTAAATGGAATATTATTACTTGCAAGATAGCGAGGTGCAATTTATTAAATCACTTAGACTATAATTTCCGTCTTTTGTAACTAAATCACAAGGATTTATAGCTAGAAAATTAAAATAAAGTTTGTATTTGATTATGGGACTATAATAAAACCTGGCGGACAAGTAGTAGTTTGTCGAGATGGAGTGGTTTGTCCAGAAGGAGTAGTTTGTCCAGAAGGAGTGGTTTGTCCAGATGGAGTAGTTTGTCCGGAAGGAGTGGTTTGTCCTGATGGAGTAGTTTGTCCAGAAGGAGTGGTTCGTCCAGAAGGAGTGGTTTGTCCAGAAGGAGTGGTTTGTCCAGAAGGAGTGGTTTGTCCAGATGGAGTAGTTTGTCCGGAAGGAGTAGTTTGTCCAGAAGGAGTAGTTTGTCCAGAAGGAGTAGTTTGTCCAGATGGAGTAGTTTGTCCAGAAGGAGTAGTTTGACCTGATGGAGTAGTTTGTCCAGATGGAGTGGTTCGTCCAGAAGGAGTGGTTTGTCCAGAAGGAGTGGTTTGTCCAGAAGGAGTGGTTTGTCCAGAAGGAGTGGTTTGTCCTGATGGAGTAGTTTGTCCAGAAGGAGTGGTTTGTTTAGATGGAGTAGTTTGTTTAGATGGAGTGGTTTGACCAGATGGAGTGGTTTGACCAGATGGAGTGGTTTGTCCAGATGGAGTAGTTTGACCTGATGGAGTGGTTTGTCCAGATGGTGTCGTTTGACCTGATGGAGTGGTTTGTCCAGATGGAGTAGTTTGTCCAGAAGGAGTGGTTTGTCCAGATGGAGTAGTTTGTCCGGAAGGAGTGGTTTGTTTAGATGGAGTAGTTTGTCCAGATGGAGTGGTTTGACCAGATGGTGTCGTTTGACCTGATGGAGTAGTTTGCCCAGATGGAGTAGTTTGTCCAGAAGGAGTTGTTTGTCCAGATGGAGTAGTTTGTCCAGATGGAGTGGTTTGACCAGATGGAGTGGTTTGTCCAGATGGAGTAGTTTGACCTGATGGAGTGGTTTGTCTAGATGGAGTGGTTTGTCCAGATGGTGTCGTTTGAGATGATGTTGTATTAAATGGCGATCCGGTTGTGGTGGGGGTAATTACTTATAAAAGGAAATAATTCAAATATAAATTTAGATTTAATTATATATAAATAGATATATCTTTTCAGTCATATCAATAAGCATCATAGGTAAATTTAAAAATTAACACGGATATATAGATGGAAATAAAAAATTTCAAAATTAAATAAGGTAAATTAGCCTTTTGATTTATTTAACTTATTTTCACAATATAATATTTAGTTGACAATTTTATTGTATAAAAATATTTTAATTTCGTATCAAATTTTATTATAAAGTTTTAATACTTTAAAATATTATTTTAGCAACTAATTTATGAAATAAATAAATTAATATAAAATAAATATTATTATGAAATACTTGATGAGGAACTAGTGATGTCTGTTATTTTAAAAATAT